CTTTGCTTCCGAACCTTCATATGCAAAAAATCACCCCATTTCAAATTAAAGGGATTGGCATATTTTTTTCATTTTCAGCTTGCAAAATTAGTGAATTCAAATTGACTGCAAATTTTGGAACGTTCAATAGCTCTGGTAGGTAGAAAATCATGATTTGAAGGAAATAATAAGATATACTTTTCATTGTTGAACTCACCGTTTCCGAATAAATAATTATATTCACGTTTGCGGAACTGCTGGTCAGATGTGCCTGTTCATTCGAAACCCTCCATTGAAATCATATAGAAATTTATATATGGGGGTTTGAAACCACAAAGAACAATCTTATGAGGTCAGTTTTCCTGTAAAACATGCCTAATATGATTTCATGAAAAACTACCCGTTTTTATTTTAATAGAAACGTTAGATTTGATAGTGAAACCATTCACATATCTCATTAACCAATCCTTCTAATCTAGGATCTTTCCAGATTGCTTGGAAATGTATATTGAAAGGGTGATCATCACCTAACGGAAAATTACAGGCTAGTTGTAGTACCACCGGTACTTTCAAATAAGCTATTTGAATATGCCTTTCTTTACAGACTTCTTAGTTTCATAAGAACAAATAAAATTATATGTGATAATTAGCAGGGCAAAGCGGGCTGCGCAGGTCGTGGAGTAAGCGGGCCTCAAAAATCTGGCCCGTACAGAGCGCTATACAGGGTTTATCTAAATAACATCGAAAATATTCAAGGGGTGATTCCATCTGATATTCTAGCAAATAAAGTTCATATAAACATGTATGCCAACTTGCTCAGTTTTTGAGAAACAGGATGTTAAAGTTGGAAGTATCAATTGGTTTTATTCATAACCTCCCTGTATAAGGTGCCAAAATTCAGTATGGTTAGAGAATGAGGAAGCCCTGAAATTTCCATAAAATTGTGATTGGGGTAATTGAGTAATCTCAATGGAAGTCTTGAGAACACCTACAGTAAAACTTGGAGCCAAATCGAGTTTTTATTGCTTCCTCAAAAAATGAGCTGGATACTAAAGTCACACACAGGATAAAAAAGTTGTTATTTTATTAATTCAATCTAATAAAATCAGGAAATTCAGAAGAACCCGTGGCGTACCTACAATGACATTCACCTTAAATATCGATAAATTTACTCGCTGTTACGCCACTGAAAATATTACTTCGAATCTGCACTAGAAGAAGCTCCATATTACTATCAACAAAACCACAACGTTTTATTGAAATTGATGGAAAGACAATTGAGTAATGAATAAAGAAACGATTTTTCATGGAAATATTGATACCCTGTATCTCATAAACGAACCTGTATAAGGTAGGTACCTAAAATCGACGTTATAATTCGCTGTAGGAGAGCTTGAAATTAAATGAACAGGTATGCACTGTTTCCGAATTATTCTGAATCGCTTCTATATATACCTACATGACAAATTCCAAAAAATAAAGCTGACTAAATGTTCAAGACCAAGGTAAGTTCTTTCCATTTCCACAGAAACCTGGTTAGCAAAAGTACACAGGAATTACGAGAAGAGGAAGTATAACGATAACAACTGACATGGGTGTCCTAACATGGGAATTTCAGAAATATTGCCCAATTAACTCATGTAAATCATAAAACAATAATTAAATTCCATATTCATTTATGTTGGTCTCATTTCCACCAATGGTCACCGTACCCGTCTCTTGATACTACATAGATATTTATCGGATCAGCTCATAACATGTGCTCTGTCATGTGTTGCTCATGACAGATAAATCCTTAACATTTTTGTAATATATAATTATGTAGTTTCATAATACGGAATGAGTGAACGAAGATTCATCGTAGGTCGTAGGGAACAATAATTATAATATAGTATATTTTATAATGCGAACATTTCTGTTCAAAGAGAAAATTCAATGAAGATATTTACGTGCTCTCGATGTCATCGATTGGATATGCATCAAATCATGGCAATATAATATGATGGTCTTCGAAGAAGAAAGGAATGATGATGAAGTTATGACCACTGGTGGAATAGTTGTGCAACCGAAAAGGAGAAATGCAGATTCTTCAGCATCATATGCTGTATGGAGCAGAATGTTTGTTTTCTCTCTTTATCGTACGTTTAACAGCATTTCACAAGACGAAGATACGTCTTTGGAAAGAGTCATTATACTTTTAAATGTTGTGATACCTCAGTATAGAAATGAAAGTGACTCTTGAATTTCTTTCAGTGCCAATGTTAAAAGACTGTGAGCAAGGTCGACAAGTGCCGAAATAACTCAATTCTAGTATTTTTTTAGGAGTTTGTGCATGTTCTCACTTCATCATGGATTTGAAAATTGTAAGTACTCACAATAATGATTATTAATTATATATAGTACATCCATAAAACTTTGTATAAGTATCATTAGGAACTCCGGCAAAGGTTTCTGAGAAAACAATCTGAAACAACTGAACTATAATTTTACATATTATACCAACTTGTCGCTTTTTCTATAGGTAGCTACATGGTGAAAATTCTGAAAATTGACATTCAACTATAATCATTTTGAACAGTTTCCATAAGTAATACCCTGATTTGATGATAAAGTAGCTCGATGATTGGGTAACTCAATGATATATGAATAGTTGATCGACTAAAAATAAAAATAAAAGTAGTCACGTATCATCCATACACATAGCAGAATATGGAATAACATAATAATGGGCATCACAACATAATCAATCTTTGGATCATACAACGTTTCTATCCTGAAACTGCATTATCTGTTTCAAATCAAATATTTTCACTTGTAATACCACTAGAGGTTATATTGACCGGAAAATTATTTAACTTTGTGTGATATTCGGTAAGAAAATTTTACACCAGATTGTGTTTGAGAATTAAATAATTTTAGAATTTATTGTTGATAATCCTTAACCGATTATGGAATGAAATACAGGGTGTGCCATCTGAAAATAAAAAGTGAAAAGTAGCTACCACAGGGATGTCGAATGTAATCCATTTTTAATGAGTTATTAGGAAGGTGCTCCGATGCAATTCAAAGTAGTTTTTTCATTTTCTGATCATCTTGTCAACTAAGCTACATATTGCCTGTATACGATAACTTGGGTCACCCGGTATATCTTATCTTCTTTCTAATCCTCTTTTTCGAACCTCGGTGACCTTCTGATGAAAGTCAGTATGACCGTACGCCCACCTCAATTACATCTTCCTGTTGAAGCGTATTAGCACCAAAAATTTCGAATCTTAGCTTTCCATCATACGCCTTGCACGGGCCCAGGTAGTTGTATGGCATTCTATATAATAGATGCACTTTGGGCACAATAGATTCTTAGCCTATCAATTGTTCATTTTTACTCATTGTATTGCAAGAAATCAACGAGAATAAAAAAATTCCATCAAAATACATGAGTTGATGTGGTGATTTGTCAAAGAACCCCAATTCGGTTAGTTTAGGTATCGCTAGGTCACGGAATGAAGGAAACATAGATTGAAAAAATTACTTATAATATTATCTGGAGATCAGTGGTATGACTCAGACACAGAATCAAAACGAATTACAAAATTATTTGGAAATGTTGTGGGAAATAGTGATGAAGAGCAAGAAGGAGATGAAATAGCTTGTAAATGTGCGGATAATTATGTCAATGATTTGTTTTGAAATGCATCAGATTATTTTTTCAAAATGAATCAATATTTTTTCAACCGAAGGTTTCATAATTTTACAGTTATTGCATGAAATTATAACAAGAACTGTTTTTTTCGCAATCAGTTTCTCTGTAATGATTTTCTGATTCCCCTGAAAATTTGTTGAAATGGATAAAATGCAATTCACAAGTCTGCTTCTCTAAAGGTGAATGATCAAGAAGTTCTTGATCTTTTGGACAAGGGTTTGAAGAATATTATGAGCTAGAAGCATCAATCCACAGTGATTTTCTCATTCATTATTTCATTCGAGGTGTTCCGGGTCTTCGTATGTCCCCTCATATTGGTCAATGTAAAGACGTTTCTTATGCGTACTATCTGATTATAAGTCTGAATTGCTCATATAAAATGTCAATTCCTGATAGGAAAACTATTATGGATTTTCACATCTCAGCATCTCACATCAAACACAAAGACGGATCTGAAATTTGAGAATGTGTTTTCGAGCATCATTGAAAGTGTCATTCGATGATTTCCCACAGTTCAGTTATAGGTACTCACCTATCCCAATCAGAGAATAAAATCGAGTATACTCATTTCGATGAGAATTTGCAAAACTTTACCTCGAATTCCATTTTTTACGTATTAGTAGCCGACTGCAAATTTCATATGACATTCGAAATTTGCACCCGGTTCTTGGACTATAAATCGCTATATGGATTCAACTCAATGGTGAGCGTCGAATTTGAATGACTCAGTATAGTGTGTAGTGAGTTGAACGGAATCGTCATCAATATCCTCTTATTCTTTTGCCTGATATGAAAATAAAGATGACAAAATTGAAGTGGGGAAGAAATACATTGAGAATTCTGTGAAAAATGTATACTTATTTTCAAATAAGTATGATTATAGTAGAAGAATACTGTATCATTGTTGGGCCTCCAATTCATGGAATAGTCAATATATGAACGTGAAATTTCGTAATGAGGCAAATCTAAATGGATGTTGAACATATTATATTTGAATATTCATAGGAATGCATTCTTACATAAAAATGAAACCTTTCACAGAAATTCGAATTTCACTTTCATTTTATTCACATTGCACTACTAGCAATCTCCACCATTCCTCAGAAGCCATTCGAACAATAATAGTCTTTAATTTGCGAATTTGTTACAGATAGTTCTGTTGGTATGCTCGACTTCTTTCACTTCCGGTGCTGTACATGAAATAAATGTCCCAAAGGAAGCAAACAGAACCAGTAGGAATATTCACATATATCAGGAAAACAATACAGATTTCATCCCTGAGTACCAACCCCCAATATTTAACTACCAAATCGCCAGGCAAATGGCCAGTCAATACCAAGATCACCAAAAACAAAGGTATGCTCAACAACAACGAATGGATATGAAAAATGGTTTGTCCATGAGAATCCCCATCACCCCAACAGTCCAATTAGCTCGAAGTCAGAATTTGAATCAGAATCAAGCAGAACAAACTGAAGACTGGCAACCGTTTCAACCTACCCCCATTCCGAAAAATGTAACAGTACAACGCAAATCAAAGACCATCAGATTACGAACTAAATCAAAGCGCAACAAAACAAAAGCCATCAACTCTGGCGATTCAATTAAAGCAGCAGGCTCAGAACGTATAGAAACAAAGAAACAAATCGATAGACAGGACATACCTGATTCTGACAAGATAGCTGGGGAAGTCGTATACATACCTCCTTCCCTTCTTCAACAAGTACTTGGGAATTCAGAGAAAGGTCGAGTTCTGGGTGATATCAATGGTCATGAAATATCCAGAGTGGATTTTAGTGCTTTGTCAGATTTGGTTGGTAAAAACCCAAACGTTCAGTTGGAAGGTCTGCAACGACTCCTGGAAGAAACTTCTGGAGACGCTCCTGTGTTTCCAGTTATTCAAGGGCCACAACCGTTCAAAAAGAATGATCATACACCCATCACAGAAAAAACTAACGATATACCCAATCCTAATACAAGACCAAATATCAAGGTGGATCACGAACAAACACCTCGAGTATCCTCCATAATTCCGACGACTCCTGTAGCTCAGAACTCTTTGGAAAACATTCAGAAACAGTTGGACGAGGCTTCCAAGCTTGATGCTGATGATGCTCTCGCCAGAGCTCAAGCACAGGCGAAAGCTCATGTTGAGGCTCAACATAAGGCTATCGAAGAAGCTCAGAAAGCTATTTTTGAAAAAGTGCAGAAGTCCTTCGGGAATTCTCAAGCATTACCTTTGGTACAGATCAATCCACAAGTACTCAACCAACTCAGTTTCAGTCCAACTCCGAGCGCAGATGATATATCAGCCATTTCCTACGTGCCAAAATTGAGAGTTGAGAAACCAGCAACTATATCTGTACCATTGAATCCAGCACTTGACGTAACATTGACTACTCCCGCTCCAATTTCTGGAAAATTGTTCAGCCCAGCAGTTAGCAGCATACAAGAGGCTTCTATACCTGAACTCAATGGACGTCCTAATAAGGTGTCTCTGAATAGTTTCGATAATAATGCACCGCTTCATCAGTATCCTTCAAAGAACGTGCAGTATTACGCACCGAACCATATTCATCAAGCAGCTACCCAACTTCAAGCGGAAAGAACTCTTATGGCACAAGTAAAATCCCAAAATGAGGCTATACTGAATAGTCTTCAATCGCCCAATACTATAGTTAGACACCAAACAGTGTCTGCACAGAAGAGAATGAGGAATAAAAATATTCAGAAAATTTCAAGTGATGTACTAGAACCTACAAAATATCAACAATCCAATGCGGAAACTCAACCTGAGAAACTGAAAGTAGTTGATTCTGGTTCTGGTAAACAACTCAATGGTTCTGATAATGTAAGTGAAAGTAACATTCAACGATTCAAACGACATGTTGGTTGAAATATTCATAATTCTGACGATTTTGAAGAATTTCACGGGTATTATGATGAAATTTATGATGATAGTTATGAAAATTCATTTCGATCATTCTTCGAATTCTCAGAACGATGAATAAAATGTTAATTAGTATGAAATGGATAAGGTAATTTGATGAAATCCAGTACTGACAAAATTGATGAGAGCGATTTTATTTGCAATTAGATGAACAATTTTGATACTACTTGCACTGATAGTGAACAAGCATTCGAAGGAAGTGATAATTACTTGTATTTTGACAGATCTTGAATCCAAATCCAAATCAAACTTGGAGTTATTTCAGATAGATTCAAGAATGTCTCCTAGAGATCATAAAAATAAACCTGAGTATTTTGTGGTTCCAATTTGATTGTGTTATTCATGATAGATATACATTAGGTGTTTTTGAAATAAGTACAACTGAACTAAGAACTATAAAAGATCATAGTAAATTCAGAAAACTGGTGAAAGATGCCCTTTTGAAAAGAGCCTACTATAATATTGAGGAATTTTACAATGAAACTATGTTATGACCTCAACATGTACAACTTCAAATAGTATATATATTATTGATCTGCTTTGACAATTGTTCACTTCAATTTTTAATGTGTACTGTTTATTGTCCTTCTACACTCTCAATAAGTTCATTACTTTTTCTATATTATTAATCGAGTTGTATATGTTTATGTTATGTTATTCCCTTCATTCAATTTTGAATACTATGAACCGGGAAACAATCAAGTACGCCACTTTAAAACAATTTAAATGATTGAACTGAATTTTTCAGATCCAGTATGCAGCAAATTATGCTTTCGGATATAGAATCAAAGACGTCAAAGAAGGAAACGATTTCGGACATCAGGAGAAGAGGCATGGTAAGAGTGCCCAGGGAAAATACTATGTTCTGTTGCCAGATGGACGCAAACAACATGTAGAATATTATGCAGATGACAGTGGTTATCACGCGAAAGTTTCGTACGAAAATATTGCTCATCATCGGTAAAAACTATTCATGCATGTACCAAAATATTCAGATTAATAATTATTCCATGTTTCCATTCTGGTATTTCACCAATTTTTGGAATATGACTAACAGTTCTTCATTGAGGAGCATGTGACCGTTGAAAGCTTTGAAAAACGGTTGAACTGGTTTAGATGCGGTGAAAATATCGTTCATTGATACTAGCTTATAGTAGGAAAACCGTCTGCAAATTTCGATCTGATAACGATATGTAATTTTGAATCGGCCGTTACTTGATGGAAATCCATGGCAAATGTAAAAACTTCAAGAACAATAAGATTTCCACAAAATTCTCAAACAGAATTTTGTGGAAATCTTATCGTTTGTGAAGTTTTTACATTTAACGATTCCCTAATAGCACACAACGTCCTAGGGACGTCCCTATTTGGTACAATTCACGTCCGAATGTCCCGAACCAAAAATAAGTGTCCCATCCCGTACATCTCATGCAATGTCCGAGCAAGGACGTCCACGGAATGTCCCAGCTGGTACATCATTTCAAAAGTCCTAGAAATGGCATCCCTTAGACGTCCCACGTGGTACATATTGTAGAATGCCCATGCATGGACGACCTTGGCATGTCCCTGATGGGATATGATTTTAAACGTTCCTTTAGGGACATCCATCGGATGTCCCGAGTAGTACATATACTGGCATGACTTCAGATCTTATATAATGTCCCTTCTAGACAACCATGAGATGACCCTGATGGTACATTCCTTCAAATATCTCTGCACAGGCGCCCTTAATATTTCCAGGATCGTATAACAATCGAAATGTCCCTTAGGGACGTCCTTCGAATGTCCGTCGGATGTCCCAATTGGTACATAAACTGTACTCTTCCAATGTCCTAGAAATAACGTCCTATGGACGTCCTAGCCGGTACTTTCAATATGTTGTCCCTGCGAGGACGTTTACTTACACCTCGCCGACGAATGATTGCTCGTAGGCTATAAGTACTCCTCGTCAATGTCCTTCACGTAAGTTCATTGGACATCCTTGGGAAACTTTTTGGGGACCTTCTACGGACCATCAACTCAAGTGGATTTCCTAATCAGTTATGCAAGATCTGGTCCTAAAGGGACCCAGTTATATTCAAATTCAAGAATAATCCGTACGTCCCTGGGACATCCTATGGACATCCAATTGATATCCACGGTACCAAATTCGAACGTCCTATGGACGTTCTGAATGTCCCGACAGGACGTCCTAAGGATATCCATGGGACATAAGTGTGTTATTAGGGTATGTAATATGTTCCAAATGCATGTGAAAATTTTGTATTTTATCAAACGGCACCTGTGCCAATCACTATCCTGAGCAAAATGATTGAAAAATGGCTATTTCCTGATTGGTAACTTGCACTCAATTCCGCGATTTGTCAACGAGATAAGAATTATGTCATTCGATACCAATTGACTGGTAGATATCAAAAACTTGCCTGTTCCGTCATGTGATAACGAGGTGAAACAAATAGCAAATAGAAGTTGATACTGTCCAAACGTGCCGTACGATTCAAACTGATCTAAGCAGAGCAGGGACCCAATTCTCAAACAGTGAGATATTTTGTCGCATGCGAGATTTCTATATTGTCGAACAAAAAACGTGAGTGCTCATTCTCGAATGACGAATTCGATAATTTTCGATAGTCGAGAATTGCATTCCGAATGAGAGATTGAATATTTGACTAATTTTCTTCACTTGTTATTTTGAGAATGGCAGCTTCAATAATTGAAATTGAAAATTTGGAAAATCAAGAAAATCATCAACGCATACGAGAGAACAAGAGATAACGTATATAAATGAATGCGTTCAGATTTTTATCGGACAGAAAATGTATAAAAACATGGGGTGAGGAATTAGTGAGAGAGTCATTGGATTGTAATGCTAGAACCCTTTGTGATAGGTACATGCACATCGGTCTTCTGCATTATTTTTGTTTTTACAGATGAAAGTGGCTCATATTCTTTTTCTTTCATCAAGTTTAGTGTTTCTTTTTGAGATGAAGAACAATATTGTTTTTTCCTTCCACTGCCATTATTTCAAGATAACATTGACATAACCTCCATCATAACAACAAAGAAACCATAACACAGACTGCACAGAACACATTCGGTAATCGTTAATTCGATGTTGCCAGTTCATGCTATTCGACAAAATTTGTCTCATCCCAGCGAGCACAAAAACATCAGACATTGAACCTACACTGCGATGTTCTGTTCACACATGAATAGCACTATTATAGAACAGCCAATGTCCGCCGCAGGCGGCAATTATCGAGATGTCCTTGATATGTCACAAAACTACCTTCTCCCTAGTTCTTTTTAAAGCCTTTTCATGGACACAACAGAACATTTTCAACGCGTCTTGCGCACATTAAATCGCTGTGAAAAAAACATTTTCGAGGTACTTTTCTGAAGCCTTTTGTCAAAATGAACTTTTGCATTAGGATTCCATTTCCCTTGAATGAAAAAATGCATTAAAAATAGATTGAACATAAAAATATTTTCTTGATATGAAATTACCTTCTTAATCGGTTTCTGAGTAGTGCTTACTACACACAGACATATAATTGGAAATAGGTTTCACAAATTTTTGGAATGTTCTCCACAATGCATAATTTTGCAACTGCGGAGAAGCTGTGTATTGATGAATTCGTACTTTTATATATTGATTACACTGAGGCACCGAACAACACATCTTGCATCTGATGTGGTCATTATTAGAAACTAAATAAGTCTTCTAACACAATAAACTTCACCAAATTCCTTTCTGTTCGTTAGCAGCGCGATGAAAGCGTGACACGCTGCAAACGCGAATGCCAATTGCGAACAAGAAGAACAAAATCGAAAACAAATCAGAATTCATCGTATTGTGACGTAAGCATGAGACGTTGTGGTGGGGCAAACAAAGAAAGGGCACAAAAGAACAAAAACAATAATTTCAATATCCTTCTGAGACCTCTTTGGGTAGTGCATATTACGCCTCAAAAAAACATCCTCATGCCTACATTTCTAAAACATCCCAAAACATCCCAGGGATACCTCTCAGTAGGCAAACAAAGAAATGCCACAGAAGAACAAAAACAATACTTCAATATCCTTCAAAGACCTCTTTGGTCAGTGCATATTACGTCTCAAAATAACATCTTCATGCCAACATTTTCAAAACATCCCAAAGCATCCCAGGGATGTTTGTGCTCGCTGGGATGCGAGTACCACCCTCACACGTTGTGCAACAATTTATATCGACATGTCGAGTTCGACATATTTCTTTGGACATTCGAGAATAGGCCCCCAGAGCGTCAATATTTCCTATAGAATATTTCGCACATGTCGTAAGATAATATCCGATGGACCATTGTAAAACTCATGTGGTCCTCGCACTACACAAGTATAGTATTCAAATCCACATGTTGAGCATCACATTGGTCCATCAGATTGTATCTTTCGAGTCTCTGAAATAGTTTTGGTCGCGTTTGAATATTCGCAAAAGGGACATTATCCCCTTTCATTCGCTATTTGTTTCAACTCGTTATCACATGATGGCCGGAATAATGACAACAAATGAATCACTGTACCGTGGATATGACTCATATTAGGAGCAGGTGGCACAGGTAGGTTATTGAGATCTACCATTTAATTGGTACCGGATGGCGAAATTCTTATCTCAAATTGCCGCACAGGTAAGCGCCAGTTTTCAATCATTTTGCTCAGGATAGCTATTGTCGTTTGATCAAATACAATGTTGTCACATGTATTCGTAATCATATTATGACTGTCGAAGTTTGCAGCCGATTCTTGGAAAATAAGGAACGTGTACTGTTTTTTTAGTTTTGTCTAGAAATTGCAAAAAAAATATGTTATTTAAATGTTTTCAGTGATAGGTAATCATTGAACAATATTATAATGAAAATGAAAACATTGTGCAATAATAAACTATTCAGGTAGGTTAACTCATTCAA